GAGGGGCCGACGGGGGGCTGGCGTGCTAATAGCGGGAGTGGAGTGAGTGCTGAGAAATGCTGTTTGGGGGATTCTGTGAAATGAGTTGGCGAGTTCTCAGTCCAGTTCTGAACAGCCAGGCGTCCAGCTTACAGCAGTCACAGCTGCATTAACCGGCCCCTTGCTGATGGGCCTCAGCAAGAGAAACCAAAGAACATCCTAGCCATCTGAAACCCCGGAGTATGCCCCAAGCCATGCTGGTGGCAGGGGGACCTTCCATTGCCACTGCTGGGTGGCTAATTAAAGGTGCTCAGGGCTCTCTGCGGCAAAGGGTCAGGAACCGCAAGGGCCTTTTACAATAACACATTAGCGCTTCCCTTTACGCTGCATAGCCACCTGTCCCCTAATCAACTCCCCCCTGCCTGGCTGGGGCCTGCACATGGGACGGTTGGGGGCAGAGCAACGGCAGGGGTGAGCTACAGGAGGCCTGGCCAAGGCAGCCCTGAGTCAGGCCAGTTTCCCGCTGTCCTAACCCTATGCTCTTGGGGCCTGGACTGAGGCCTCGCCAACTCGTTTCACAGCATCCACTGAACAGTGTTTCTCAGCCCCTATGGGCCTTGCAGCAGGCCCAGCTTAGGCCAGGCCTGGCTTGCACCAAGAGGGAAAACAGCCCGTGTTCCCGGACTAGAGGAGTCCCACATCTTCTCCCCCGGTCCTGGCCCCGCACTGCCCCTTTCACTGTAAGCCCTTTGGGGAAGGGGCCGTCTCTTTGTTCCGGGTTTGAACAACGCCGAGCACCATCGGGGGCCCTGGCCTACGACTCCGGTGCCTCTGCAGCCGGTAATAACAGCACCACGCCGGCCCAGCGTCACTATAAGTGGGATAGGCCACCGCTGTGTGTACACATGGCTGGCTCACCGGATTCCTGCCTCCTTTGTCAGGGAGAGGGGCTTTACGCAGTAGCTTCCGTCTCCTTCTCCTCCTCGGACCCGCCCGCTCTGTACACAGTCTGCCTCCCAAGACGTCGGTTGCTTGGCTACTGATCAACTCTTACATTTGGCCACTTCAGGAGAACTGCAAAGGGCCCGGCTTGTTTCTCGAGCAGCTGGTAGATGTTAGCGATGGGGCTGCTGGGGAAGGTGGAGCTAGCAAGGCTGTTGGCGCCCATGGCAACGGGTAACAACAGCGGCTGCAGGAGATGAGGTACCTCTTTAATTATTTATTCCCCCACCCCCAAACGCCACTAAAAGTCAGGCCTGAGAGGGAGGGATAACAGCGCTGCCAAGGGCATCTGGAGTTGGCTGACGTAGGGAGTGTTACCTAATGGTTAGAGCCGGTGACTCCGTGGTCTTGCTCTGTGGTTACGTCACTTCCCTCTTCTCTTTCCCAATCTTTAATGGTCGTATTAACGCTTCCCTGGGATGGCTGTGAAGCTTAATTAAATGAGTGTCTGTTAGCCGCTCTGAGAACTGCAGGGCGGAGCCATACGAAGAGAAGCGGAAGAGAAGGACAGTTGTTGAAATTCCTTCACCCCTTTACAGAGCCCGGCTGGTTTGCCCCAAACACGGGCAGAAGTTTAAATGTGTGTGTATAGGGGATAGCCCTTGTGCAGCTCTGCCCCCCTTTGGGATGCCCTCTGCACAGGGGGTATTCCGCGTACTTCAAGGCCAGGATGGCATAAAGGGGCCTCAGTGTAACAGAACCAGACCTGAGCAGGCTGCCTTGCCCCAGTGTAGACAAGATCATGGCACAGTGAAGCACCGTGCACCGGATTGCTCTGCTCCTGTCAGGCTCTGGCATGACGCGCTGCTCTCCAGCAGACCCAGGTTAGGCTCTCGGGTGGCGAGGCGTTCCTGCCAGGTTTGCTTTCCACCGCGCTGGCAGGGAAATGGTGGAAGAGCTGAGTTCCAGGGCAGCCAGGGAGCATCTCGACCCACACCACATTCATCTCTGGTTTCCCAACCAGCTGGACAGGTGCCGCTTCCGCTGTCTAACGCGCCCTCTGAGCGGAGAACTTTCGCACCAGAGGAAACTTTTGACGGCAAGTTATAAATCCAGGCAAAACGGAGGGGGTTGGGGGGGCTTTGACGGGTATGTGAACGCGGCCCTAACAAGCGCCAGGAGGAGGAGGTGCCTGCCTGCTCTCAGCGCCTCTTTCCACATGCTGTAAGCTCTCTCTCCACGCTGACCCATAAATTATTCAAGTGCCTTTGTGCTGCACTATGAAATATTCATCCCGCCATCAAGGGAGCGGTGGGTGGGTGTTCGGCGGGAGAAGGGGAACGGCTGACAGTTGCTCCGGTAATTGAGATCAGCATCGTCACGAGTGGAAGCAGTGCAGGTGTGCAGCGTCTGGAAGAAATGGGGGGGGGGAGAGAAGTGAGGGGCAGAGTGGGAAATAATCAATCGTCACCTCCGCTCCCTTCCCAGCTTGTGGAATGGGAGGGGGCCGGGCTCAGGCTCCGAAGCCCGCTCCCTGCGGAGCCGTGCTGATAGCAGAGGCCCCTGGGAGGACAACATTGCCGGAGTTGGATGCAGCGCTGCAAATTGGCTCCCTGCACACACCTGTATGTGTCAGTTTTGCCTAATCCCTTTCAAATGTCACCAGCCTCCGCTGGGTGCTGGCAGGATGACAGTGTTTTCAGATTCACGAAGCGCCCGTTTTCTGATTCATCGCAGGGGGATGCTTTTAAACGATCGGGGCCTGATTCGGCCCTTGCTTCCGCTGGTAGCTGCGGGAGTTATTCCTGATGTGCACCACTCTTGGGGGGGGGAGATCAGGCTTTGTCTCTGTTACATGTACCCACAGAGGAAGGCTTGTGTCAGCATCTCAGGAGCAGGCGGGGCTGGGGGAACCATGAAGCTGTCACCGGATGTGCAGAGGTTACCATGTGCCATGTTTACGGGTGAACTGTATGCCATTGCAGTCCTGTGGTGCGCGTCCTCCCCAATGAAAGGGTTAAAACTCAGACCTGGTCTAAGTGGCTGCCACACTGCGGAGGTCAAGGGAGGCTCTTACTCCCGGGCCAGGCCCTGTGTGTTTGATCAGCCAGGGAAAGCGGATTCTGATGCTATGCGGTTTCTAGCTTAGTGTTCCGTTGGCCAGGTCGCGGCTGTCACTTGATATCTAGGGGTGGCATTTGGTGATGCTCTCTCCGCTGCATGCCCTTCAGTTAAGCTCTTATTAAAACTCAGTTTGTTTTTTCCTCCCTGCGAGTTGCCCTTGCTGCAGAGCGGCAAAACTCACTCTGAGTCAGGTGCCAACTTCGCATGTTCAAAGGAACGCGTTTGTAACTGCCCTGTGTTCAGAGCCCCCTGGTGAGAGCTGGGGAGGGGCTCTCCGTGGTTTGGGGCCGAGAGGAACAGGTACAGAAAGGATTCTGTGGATGAACAGTGTTCGCTGGATTTATCTTTGCCCACAGCTGGGTGTATCCGCTGGCTTCCCCCTACTACCCATGGATAGTTCGAGCTTCTTGTTCTTCCCTTTAAGGCTTTGCATGAAGCCACTTCTGCTTATATCCCCGCTGTGGTCTCTGGCTACTCCCCGTTGCTCTGATGATGAATCCGCCTGACCACCCCCTTCTCCCACCCTGGTCTTTGTGCCTACTTCCATGGCCACGCCTGAGGCGTGGATTGCTCCAGGTGCCTGGCCCTTCCACATTCCAATCCCTCCTATCGCCAGGCCCATCAGCGCTCACGTCTGGCAGTAAAACCCACTGAATCAAAGCCAAAGACATGCTTCAATGCAGGGTCATGCTGGTGGATCAACATCAGCGAACAGATAACACGGCTCATGCCATCCAGCGAGGCCAGGAAAGCAGCTCACTGCTCTGCTGTAGGTAGCAGTGGCGGCACCCTCGACGGGGAGAGAAACTGAATCCTGAATTTGGGCATGGCAGATTGAAACATGCACCCATCTTGCCTTGGAAGATCTATCTGTCTATTCAGGTACTTGCCTGGTCCTCATCACCATAGTATTTGAGCACCTCACAATCTTTATTTATCCTCACAACACCCCTGTGAGGTAGAGAATGGCTATTTCCCATTGTGCGTATGGAGAAACTGAGGCACAGCAGTGCTTGCAGCATGGGTAGGCATCTTGAGCTAGCTGGATAAAGATAGCCGTGCAGCTGCCCAAGTACAGTCCCACCCAGGACCCTAGGGATTGTCCCACAGAGCCAGGTTGCAATATGGCGAGCCCTAGCCCTGGCCCCTCTGCACCCAGGCCTTTGACCCATCTACATCCTTCCTGCGACCTCTTGGCGAGTCGTGACCCACTGCTTGGGAAGCAACCCTGTCCAAAGTGACTTGGCCACAGACTTTCTGCGTGACCTCGGGCAAGCGGAGAATTGAACTTCAGTCTTCTGCATCCTAGGAGTGCAACCTAGCCACTAGCCGTCCTTCCTCATGGTGACGTTGAAGTGTCAAGGCTCCCAACTGCAGGAGAGAGCTCTGAGAGAACTTCAGGTGTCTGGAAGAGACGGGAAAGCAGAGACGTCTGCAGTCTTGGACGCTGCATCTTCAGCCCCTTGACCATCGCCCCATCCTTCCTCTCGACAGATGCGGAGCCTTGCTCCATTTCCCACGGTCGTGTCACAGAGCGAACTGCGCTTTCAGAGGCTGTTGGGGCTTTGTTTAGAGGTGTTTTCAAACTCCAGCAGAGCTGGAAGCGTGAGTGACAGGAAGGAAATCTGCTGGTTTATTTCCGTTTCTAACTTGTGCTGGGGCAAAACTGCCTCCTCCTCTGTCGGCTGATAAAGCAGCGCCGCGGTGAACAATGGAACGAGTAGGAGGCTCTGCCTGACGGGCTCGTCTGAGCCGGAAAATGTCTCATTCGAGGGAAATCTCCAGTCACTCGTTAAACGGTAGCGTCTGCCCAATGGGAAGTGAGCCATGTTTCGGGGGGCGGGGGAGCATGTTGAGAGGATAGTAACAGATTAGCAGGAGAGAGGGGTTCGGCACGGAGGGAAGGCGTATGAATTAATTAATTCATTCCCCAAGTCCAGGGTGATGCTGCCGAGTCCCGTTTAGAGCCCCCTGGCGTGGAGTGATCCTTAGAACTGGATGAACCAGGAGCAGCACGGCTCTCTGGAGAGATTAGCCTGGCACTGGACAGACCTGAATTCCTGGCTCTGCAGCCGGACGGCGGGGTGACCTGAGGCAGATTGCGCCCTGAGACGCAAGGGAAATGAGCAACAGAAATGAGAAGAGGTTTGGAAAATGTGACCTGTGAGGAAAGGTTGAAAAACTGGGCCTGTTCGCCAGGGCCACCAAGAGCGGGTTCGGGCCCCGGTGAAAAAAATTTTTCGGGCCCCCCTGCAAGGGCGGACCAGCTAAACGGGGCCGACGGAGGAGGGGGGAAGCCGGGCCCGGAATTTTTTCGGGCCCCCCAGCAAGGGCGGACCGGCTAAACAGGGCCGACGGGGGGGGGGGAAGCCGGGCCCGGAATTTTTTCAGGCCCCCTAGCAAGGGCGGACCGGCTAAACGGGGCCGACAAGAGGTGGGGGAAGCCAGGCCCCCTTCCGGCCGCCGGGCCCCAGTAATGTGTACCGGCTTCCCCCCCCCCACACTCTTGTCGGCCCTGCTGTTCGCTCTAGGGAAGAGAAGGCCAAGGGGGGGGGGGACGTGGTTAATATGTAAAAGGTTGTGATAGAGAGGACAGTGACCAATTGTCCTCTGTGTCCACTGAGGGTAGGACAAGAGGGTGTCACCTTAGTTTGCAGCAGGAGAGACAGGTTGGATATGAAGGTAAACTTCTAACTCAGAGGGTTGTTAAGCTCTGGAACAGGTGACCTAGAGGGGTGGTGGAAGTGTTTAAGAAGAGGTTGGACTAATAACCCCTATCAGGGATGGTCTAGGTTTACTTGGTCCTGGCTCAGCGTGGAGGGGCTGGACTAGATGACTTCTCAAGGGCCCTTCCAGCCCTCCATTGCAACGATTCCATTTCTCCCCGTCTAAAGCGCTTTGAGATCTGTGGCTGAACAGTGCTATGTAAGAGCCAGGCATTGTTAAATTAATAATGCGAGGGAGTGTTGTGTGGTGTCTGTTACCGTGGTTGCTTACAGGGCTGTATGGGTGTTGCAGGCTCTTTAGAGAAGGTTCCCTTTGCTGGGCATTTCCTTGTTTTTAAAGGATTGTGTGGGTGGAGGTTGTACTTGGTCAACCTCAGCTGACAAAGGTTTGGGGTGTGGGAATTTCTATTTATACGGGTGCCTTTCATGATCCCAAGGTGCTTTGCAAACTGCAGGCACACAGCAGCATTGAAATGCAGCCACCTCTGGGGTGAAGCCACCGGCAGATGGATAAGGCATCAACGTGTTGGAAGGAGCAGAAATTTTGGGCGAGGACAGGGAGGCAAAGCCTTACTCTCCCAGAAAAGACCCTGGGAAGTGTAATGTCTGTGCAGAGCAGAGGATCACAGCTGGTAAGGTCGCATGCTCTAAAATGTGCCAGATTCATTTTCTCTTCTGTCACTTGTGTTCAGTTCTGCAGCCTGTGCTCTGCAGGAAGTCAAGCTAGATGATCAAAATGGTCCCTTTAAGAGCTCAGCGTCAGTTTGCTCTGAAAGGACAAATGGATAAGTCAGCCCCACGTCTTTTAGGCCAAGGCCTCGAGCTGTGACCAAGGATTTTGGAAGCCCCAGTTTTTTGGGGGTGCTCGGTTTGAGACACCATAAAGGGGCCTGATTTTTCCGAAGTTCTGGGCACTTCCAGCTCCAGAGAAAGTCAGTGGGAGCTCGGGATGCCCGGCGTGCCTCAAATGATTCCTCTCCCAAACCGGGGACTGCTCTGGAAAACTAGGGCCGTACGGTTTCTGGGTCTCAGTTCTGCCATCTGTGAAATGGGGATCAGGCCAGCGTAAGGCGGCTTCCACCATAGAGAAATAGCTGCCAGGCCAACCGTCTTCCCACTGCCGTCTCTCCTAAGGTGGCAGGTGCTCCAAGCTGTCACGTCACTACGCTTGCTTGCCCAACAAGGGTCGTCGGTCTTTGGAAAGATCCCTGGATGAAAAGACACTGGCAGACAGCGGAGCTGCCCTACCAGTGCCACGGCAAAGCTGACTGCAGCCTCCCACGAGCAGGGGAAGTTAACTTTCTGAAATGCAGGTGCTAAATCATAGCCCCCGTACTGCCGCCCACGCCCCTGATCGAGCGGCTCGGTTTCTCTCCTCTCTCGCAAGCGGCCTCTCTCGGTACCAACTTATCTCTCGTCTGCCTGTCGGGCAGAAAATGAGCCTGTCCTGTTAGGAGGATGCCTGCCGCTTCAGCATTGCAGGCTGTATTTTTTCCATTTCTTTATTAGTAAAGAGAGAGCCCTCCAGCTCCCGACTCACGCTGTTAAAATCAATGTTTTCACATAAAAGGAAATAACTTGCAAACCTTTGTGTTTCCAAAGGGCTGTAAATAGCGCTGCGTGGAACATCCTTGCAACAGTACCGGTTTTGACTGCTCTATTACTGCTCACTTAATTTATACCCTCCTTAAACCTGGGCCAGCCTTTCCGTGAATGCCCCCTATTTGCAGGGGGTTAGAACTTGCAATGGAAAATTCCCGGCCGGCTCGGTGCGCTGGCTCCCACCGGCACCTTTGTCATCCGACCTGAGGCAGCTCTCCTGCTTAGCTGTATTGCTACCAGTTGAGGAACTGATTCAGAGTCACCAGTTCTATTAGCTGGACTGTTGTTCCAATGTAAACCCTAGGATGACAATGATCTTGTACCAGCAGATCGAGGGACGTGATCATTCCCCTCTATTCGGCATTGGTGAGGCCTCACCTGGAGTAGTGTGTCCAGTTTGGGGCCCCACCCTACAAGAAGGATGTGGAAAAATTGGAAAGAGTCCAGCGGAGGGCCACAAAAATGTTTAGGGGGCTGGAGCCACATGACTTATGAGGAGAGGCTGAGGGAACTGGGATTATTTAGTCTGCAAAAGAGAAGACTGCGGGGGAGGGGATTTGATAGCTGCTTTCAACTACCTGAAAGGGGGTTCCAAAGAGGATGGATCTAGACTGTTCTCAGTGGTGGCAGATGACAGAACAAGAAGTAATGGTCTCAAGTTGCAGTGGAGGAGGTTTAGGTTGGATATTAGGAAAAACTTTTTCACTAGGAGGGTGGTGAAGCACTGGAATGGGTTCCCTATGGAGGTGGTGGAATCTCCTTCCTTAGAGGTTTTTAAGGTCAGGCTTGACAAAGCCCTGGCTGGGATGATTTAGTTGGGGATTGGTCCTGCTTTGAGCAGGGGGTTGGACTAGATGGAGTTCCAACCCTGATATTCTATGAATGGTCTAAAGCACCTTCCACTGGATGATCTCAAAGCGCTTTATAAACCTGAGCTCACTATCTTCCCCCCATGTCAAGTAGGTAAGTATTATTAGTCCCAATTTACAGATGAAGAAACTGAGGTATGTTGAAGTGAAGTGATTGGTCCCTGGTCACCCAAGGAATGTACGGCAGAGCTAGGAATGGAATCACGGTCCCCCTAACTCCAAATTCAGTGCGTTAACCACTAGACTATGCTCCCTCCTTTAATCACAATCTCTGTTATTGTGCTACAAACAGCAGTATGCCCCATGTAGAGGTCACAGGACAAGGATGAAGGAGATCTGGTTTCAATTCCTACCACGCACCTTGTGCCATTCTGTGCCTCAGTTTCCCCATCTGTAAAATTGGGATAATGATACTGCCCTCCTTTATAAAGGGTTTGGCGATCCACAGTTTAGAGTTAGGATTTATAATCCATAGCACCTGTGTCCTCATTCCCTGCCCACCAGTAAAGCCATCTCAATCCCAGTTTTGATGTTACTCAAAACCTTTGAGAGGTGCATTTTCAGCAAGGGCTAGTGATTCTGGGGGCCACCTGGAGACCCCTTAAAGGGGCCTGACTTTCAGAGAGCAAGTGCCGAAAGCTTAAAGTACAAATATTAAAGAGCATGATTCCGGAGGGTAAAGGTTTGAAACTGGATTATTTAGGAAAGGGAGACACTGAAAATGCTTCAGAGCAATCGACTTATTAATGGCTTCACCCCAGTGCCATTATTATCATAGTGCCTTGGGAGTGCTTCTCATTGACCGGGACTCATTTGTGCTAGGAGCTGTACAAACATATACAGTCTCTTATGTGGTGTTCCTCATATACACGCAATGGCTGAGCCCGCTGAGGCCAAAGCCCCAGAATGACTTCCCTCTAAGCAGAGCTTCCCCGAAGCCAGCGCTGTAATTTTTGCCCATCAGGTCAACGCAGTGAAACACATTTTTATTTATTGTGTTACCACAGCAGCAAGACCCTCCAACCAAGATCAAGGCCCCGTTGCGCTAGGTGCTGTAGTGGCAGTCTCTCCCCTGTAGCACTTACAACCTCAACAGACAAGGGGCGGGCAAAAGGAAGGATTGTTACCCATATTTGACCAATGGGGAAACTGAGGCACCGAGCGAGTCAATGACTTGCCCGCGGTCACAGAGCTGGGACTTAAACACAGATCTCTTGAGCCAATGAAAGCGCCAAACCAAATTTGTTCAAGTTCAGCATAAACAGGTCCCACCGTATGCAAACAGCTGCATCACCAACCTGCTTCTCTTTCCCAACTGTCCTAACATGAGAGCTTGTAGTTATCATGGTCTGCAGTGTGTGGCTGTTCCAGGCAGGATGAAGCCCAGCACCTGTGTTGCTTCATTCGCTTGTTTCGGTCTCTAACACAATCACTGGCTAAGTGGCTCGGTTTGTGTTCGTGAGTCCTAGGCAGGTCTTGTCTGTCTCTAGGTCTTTCTCTTGCCTGAATTACTGCATTCATCTGTGTGCAGCTTTCAGCTAAGCTGATAACCTTGCTTATGAGCGCCTCGCTTCTTTCTTCCTTGGCGGGTTTGCAGGAATCAAATTCCCTCACGCAGCGCCGGTGGGGTGCGGCAGGAGCATCGGTCCCTGAGTAATGGTGAGCACAGGTTATCATCCAGCCAGGAAACTGAATGGGTTCCAGAATCCAAACTCTGGCATAGCAGGGAGCCGGAGAAATAGAGTGCTTTGATGTACTTTGACAAACACAAAAGGAAACCAGCAGGAGTGCTGCTCTCTGGCAGGTTGCAGGGACTGAACAAAATGATATCCGCAAACGTGGCTTATAATGCTATCCGCTCTCGGGGTGCGAGCTGTGCTGTGCTAAAGGGCCGCTCACCTGCCACATGACCAACAAATGTCACGTGGGTCTCCCGCTCAAAGAAACGAGCCAGATTTTAAGGCGGGCACGTTAAAATGGGTGATAAGTCTTATTCTGCGTAGGTAGCAATACAGATCCCAGGTGGGAAGACAGTAATGTAGGTCTAATGGGCCTTTCCAATGTACGCAGTGCATCGACCTTCCTTTGATGTTTAGGGGATTTTATTCCACAGTGATACCTAGCCACTAAATTACACCTGTTCTCAGAAAGGGGGAAAGAACCCAGGAGTCTTGGGTCCTAGTCTCCTACTCTGTAAACCATGTGCCCTCCTAAAGCGGAGTACAGACCCTAGGCGTCCTGATGCTCAGTCCCTGCCTGTTCTGCCCGCTAGACCCTCCTCCTATCCCAAAGCTGGAATAGAATGCAGGAGGCCAGCTTCCCACCTTCCTCTGCTCTTAGACCAAGATGCTTTTGTGTGTGTGCACACCTGGGCCAGGAGAGGAGGGATCATTACTCCAGGGCAAGGGCTGAATCACATGGTTGTGTTTTTTTTTTTTTTTTTCCCCTTCCAGAGAAGATGGACACCTTCAGCACCAAGAACTTGGTTCTGCAAGCTCAGAAAAAGCTGCTGAGCAAGATGGCCTCCAAGACCATGGCGAACATCTTCATTGATGACACCAGCAGCGAGGTTCTGGACGAGCTGTACCGGGTCACCAAGGAGTTCACCCACAACCGCAAGGAGGCCCAGAAGATCATCAAGAACCTGATCAAGATCGTCATGAAGCTGGGGGTACTGTACCGCAATCGGCAGTTCAGCGCCGATGAGCTGCGGCTGATGGAGCACTTCCGCAAGAAAGTGCACACCCTGGCTATGACCGCCGTCAGCTTCTACCAGATAGACTTCACCTTTGACCGCAGGGTCATGTCCGGCGTGCTGAACGAGTGCCGCGACCTGCTCCACCAGGCCGTCAACACCCACCTGACGGCCAAGTCCCACTCCAGGATCAATCACGTCTTCAACCACTTTGCGGACTACGAGTTCCTGTCGGCGCTGTATGGACCTTCTGAACCCTACCGCACCCACCTGCAGAGGATCTGCGAAGGGGTCAACAAAATGCTGGATGAGGACAACATATGAACCAGCAAAGACAAGGCCTGAGAGCAAATGTTTGGCTCTTTGCCTGACTCTCTTCCACCTGGACTCTCCAGGCTGCATTCTGGTATCCGTGAATTCAACGGCAAGACGTCTGTTGTTCTCAGTGGGGTCAGGCCTTCTCGCTCGCTCTTTCTCCACGTTGCGAAACGTCTTGCTCTTTCCTTTTTTTTCTCCTGAAGACCAAGGACCCTTCACTTTCTGTCTAAATGAGGTTGCAATCTGCTGCTTGTCTTAGTAGCTGGAATCTCTTCACCTCACTTTAGCTCCCTAATGAAATTAAAATGAGACAAAGCAGCTTCCGTCTCTACCCTACTGGGGCACAACCACACCAAAGGCGGGGTTGTTTGTATGAGTGAAACTGGAGAAAATGCTCTTTTTTGCACTGGCTTGATATCTCCGCTTTGGAACCCAACCCAGTGTCTATAACCCATCAGAGGCCAAGCCCCACAGCCCCTACCCACTGTACATGAGCTCTCTGTTTAAAGGTTCTTGGTCTCACTGTATATATTTTTATCCACCAAGTGCTCTTAAACCCACAATTCAGAGTCCAAGGAGTCCTGCTGTAGCAAAATCTCTCTCACTTCTAAATCTGTTTTCATTCTGGTGAGGGGGGAAACCCACTACATCTTGTGTGTAGCTTTTTTTTTTTTTCTTGGTTAAGATTAATTCAAGCAGAGAGCATGGAGGAGTGGTTCAGGTGTCCTGCCACTGCCAAGATGTAAGGCTGTCTATCCTGAAGTTCAACCATGCGGGCTGGGTTTAAACACAGTTTCCCTGGCCAGCGTAGAAAAGGATGAGCCATATTCTAAATGCTTTACAAATCCATGCTATGGTCTAGCACCCCTAGGCCAGGGAAAGTGCATTAGAACCTTGCAAGCAAGAATTGGGTTGTGGTGTTTACCTCACTATTGTCTCCCGGGAGGCCAAGATATGGATAGTGGGAGGATCTCACATAGGGATGGACCCTGCTTGGATGGATCACCCCACAAGTAGAGTCCTGCACGGATACAAAATTGGTATCCACATCCGCAAATATGGTCTGCGGATATAAAGTGGATATCTACAGATTTGCAGGGCTATACCCACCGGGTCCCAGGATGGGGAGGGACCCTTGAATGGGGGAGAGGCTGCAATGAGGGTGGTCAGGTTTAGACACTGTTGTGGTTTGAAGCTTAACACAGGTCAGGCCTAAACTAGGGGCTGGAGCAAGAAGTGGTCATGCTCCAGGTACCACTTGCCCCTCCTGACTGTTGCCCAATGGGTACTTTGGGCCAGTTACGGAGGCAGCCTCTCCCTTCTGACTGAGAATGGTGGAGCATTATTTTCTGTCCATGTTCCTTTCCCACAGGGGAAAAGAGGAGACTGTATTTTCAAACCAAATAGCAAATGTGCACTTTCCTCCTCCTCCTCTGAAATCCAAACTGAATTTCTCTGTCGTCAGCCTCTCCGGCTGATTATATCAATGTAATTGTTTAGATTTGGTCCTCTGGGGCTTTCCCTAGTATGTCGTAGGTTGGAAACAACGTCTTAGATTCCAATAAATTACAAAAAAAAAAAAAATGCAGCCCTGGTGAATAAATAAAGTTGCATCTTCCACCTGAGCACAGTACAGGGTTTGGTTACAGAATTGGTAAGTAACCAGGGTGCATTGCTGGCAGATCCTCGCCTTGCTTTTGCTTTTTAAGCAGAAGTACTAGCCTAAGACCTCTCCTTTGCCTTTTTGGCACCAGGGTTCTGCCCAGGAAAGCGGAGATGCAGAACTGTGTTACTGCACCTAGAGGTGCTGGGGCACCCAGAGATCCTACCCACGTTCATGTGAGTGGAGAGCATTTAACCCCGTGCAGGGCTGGGCCTCTGGGGAGCAGGAGCTCAGATTAGGCACTTGTTGTGTCCCCTCTGACAGCCCCCGCTGTTTCAAATGTGTGCGACTCTGAACCACAGCCCTGCTCACTAATCCCAATCTTTTACCTAGCGCGTTTCAAGGTGCTTTCCAAAGGACATCAGTAGCATTGTCTCCATTTTATGGATAGGGAAACCGAGGCACAGAACTGGGAGGTGAATTGTCCAAGGTCATCCACCGAGCTGGGAACAGAACCCAGCTCTCCTGAGTCGCAGACAAGTGCTCTGTTCACTAAGCCACACTGTTTCCAGTTAAGGATGATGGTGCTCCAGCCCTTAACCATCCACTTTTGTCCACAGAGCAGGTACAAGGTGGGCAGTGACTGGGCAAGCTTCCCTCCCCCCCCACCTCAACCCTGATCGGGAGGGGCCGTTTCTAGAGGGTGAGAAGGTAGTTGGGTCTTCACCCCCTGCTAACTTGGTGCCAGGAGGGGTCAATTGTGGTCATCACCTATTTAGTGGGAATTAGCCCCGAGACCAGTTTGTTGGGCATAGGCCATTGCACCACCATCAATTAGGTGATTCCATAATCCCATTGGCCAGCCATTCGAGTCATCCAGCCACCCTTCTTCTAAATAAAGTTTGATGGCTTTACTCTACTGCCACCATTCAACCAGGGGCCGGGCTTCAAAGGCGAATGAGAACACTTGAGCCGGGGGTGTTCGTTCCCCTTTGGCACACAAACCCAAGTGCTGTGTTCTGCAGCGGCGTTACCAGAGTGCCGTGGCTGGGCCCCGGATAAAGCCGCTGTTTGGCTTCTCACTCTTTTCAGAATGAACTGAAAGGCAGGGTGTGAACGAGAGCGCGGTCTGAACCGGATGCCACCCTCCAGGGCCTGTCTTCAGCTCTCTGATCTCTGCATTGTGCTTGGAAAATGGTCCTTTAATGCTTCACAAAGGCAGCCTTGCCTTATCTCGGTGACCTCCTTGTGCCTCCTAGTCCGAGGGATGTCTCCAGGCGCAGCAGCCCGCTAATGTTAACCCTGTAGATTTAGAGCAGTGAGCTGCTCTGCCCCTCTGATACACAGCACCTTTGCTGCTGCTGGTTCGAGGCACTGATACATTTCAGGCTTTTAAAATTGCAAAGCCCCAGCCTCCTGTGTTTAATTTGGCTTATTCTGAACTAGCGCAGCTAATTTAATTGTGCAAAGCAGCTGGGGATGCAGGGGAAAGGAGTGGCTACAGGTGCATGAATATAAGGCAGCCCAGCGGCACGCTGTGTACAGCAGCTCTTCACCTCTGGGGCTCGCCGTTGTCAAAGTTTGCAAGCGGAGGTTTAATCTCTATTACTTTACCATCCTGCGCCTGTCAATCTGTGCTGACGAGAAGCCCAGGCCTGGAACAGCCTGTCGATAGCCAGCTGGCGTATTGGCAGATGTGCAGAGAGAAACCGAAGCGGAACCGGTCTGATGGATGCGGCAGCAAAGGGCTGGAACGCTGACAGAAAAATGCTTTACTGCTCTATTGTCAGCACCATTTATGAGATTATGTGGAACATCTCTGGGGGGAAAAGTTCTCTGGACTCAGCAAGAGTCCTCAATCATGAGTCACTGGTACGACAGTGCATGATGTAGCATACCTCAGAACTCACCAGGAACGTGTCTCTATAGCAACTATACAAGGAGGGTCCCTCAGAGATGGGGCCTTGCCTGGAATTTCCCTTTTTCCCCTACTCGACCTCCCCAAAAATCTTCCCCTTTCTGTCTTTATGAGAGCTACGAGTTCTCAGCATCTCCGGAAATCCAGTAGGCTTCTAAAAATCTCAGTACAAGGCGCAACAGACTTCCAAAGAACACGTGGACTCTACAGAATGTAGGTTAACCAGTCCCTAACTACTGTCCAACACACAAGTGACCCAGCAACAGCTACTGGGAGAATGGGACAAACTCATAGATTTAGTGTTGTCTTTGCACCATGGCTGGGGACAACAATAGATGATGAAATGTCTGATACAGCTTCTCGCAGGAGGATGGATTCAGTGTTGCAATTGATCCTTTGCATCCCTAACTTCTAGGTTCCTCAGGCATAGGCCATGGGTTATCTCCCTGAAGTGGCCTTTGTCTTATGACATGTCAACCTCCCAACCAAGGAGACCCAGTCTGAGGATCTGCAGGTGTCTGCTGATTGGATGTCAAACTGAAGAGCAAAGGCTATTCCGCACTCCGGGCTCCCAATCATAGAGACGGTAAGAAGCTGGAACAGCCAAAGTGACCAGTCTAAGCGAACTTGGAGACAAGATGCTTTGCTTTATTTTATTTTTTTATATACAGATGAAGGGAATTCTGGATTCCTTCACAGTTATTAGACTAAATAAGAAAATCACTTCCGTATATACGAAAATAGTCCCGGAACTGTATTGAATAATGGATGCCTCATTGGATGGATTTCTGTGTGGTATCAGAATAAACAAGGCCTGTGTGGACCCCACAGTTCTGCTTTTCTTATGCCAAGGTGCCAAATTCTGATCTGGGCAATAGGGCAGAGTTTTTTCCTCAGCTCACCAAATGCTGCTCGGTGGTGATCACCCACCAGATAGGACAGTGAATGGGTTTGGCTGGTTCCGTGCCCCCTCCTACTACCCGTTTAATCTGTTCTTCCTGTCACGCTTCTGGGCAGAAACCCTATTCCCTCTCCAGAGACTAGAGAGTTAACTACTTTCCTTTAGCAAACCTTGTTAAAATCCTGCTCCTTATCTTTCCGCATTGCTCTGCTTAGCAAGGAAGATAAGGAGACACAGCTAGAGGAGAGCTTTACCCTATTCAGTTGATCACTGAAGCAGAAAGCAGGCAACAGAATAGCTGGCTACAGATCAAGAATCTCAGAGGAAGGCTCCAGCTGCAAAGGCTTCTAGCATCTCAGGCACCTGGTTACTCTGACACAAGACAGAGGGTATCTGTCTTAACACCGCCGAGTCCAGTTCAGAGCGGACCCCAATATACTTCTATGTGGGAAACAGGAAAGAACACCCTAGACAACCAGCAATTAAGAAAAAGTCCCCTTTATCCGCCACGTTTCTCCAGCCGAGAGACAAGCCCCTTCCCTAGGTCCCCGGATCACAATTCGTCATGGGGCGTTTTCGCTACAATCACTAGTTTGGACAGTTCGGAACGGAACTTCCCTTCTTTGTGAGCCACTAGAATGAGAGAAAACACAACAGGGAGTAAATGGACGATGAAGCATCAACTATTAGAACCGCCGGTTCCTTCCAAGAGATCGAGAGGGCAAATCAAAATCTGAACTGCACTGATCACCTACATGTGGAGTGTATTTGCAGCGTTTCTCAAATGCAGCCACCGTGGCGGGGGGGGGGGGCAAGCTCTGGTCACAGGGCTTTGGGCTACCCCCACACACCCCCATTGCCCCTGACCCCCGCTGCCTCAACCCCTCCATCCAGGGCTTAATTTGTCCCCAGGCTTGACAGGGCTGAGTAAGTCTGCTGTGAAAAGCGATACTTGTATGCTTGTTAATATCACTTTTCACAACAGACTTACTAGCTAGCAATAAATAGATTGTAATCCAAATCATTGTAATTATTTGTTTTCCCTAAAGCTAATTAAGTGTTTTAGGAAAAAGTGTGAGCGCGGCCACCAGGAAGGGTTGGTGGCCACACTCTGAGGCCACCACAATATTTGTCCGGAGAACCCCCACCTTAGAGGCTTATTAATAAAGTCATTGTCCCCCCTGCACATACCTAGGGTGGTAACACCTATGGGATCCAGGAAGGGTTCAGGGCCCCCATTTTGTTAGGTGCCGTACAGCCAAGCACCAAAAAGTCAGTTCCTACCCCAACGAGCTCACAATCCACGATTACCATTAATACACTACCTGTGATTTGGAATCATCCAGGGCACAGGTGCCTTTCCATCCGTCCCCTATTAGACTGCCAAGCTCCAGACATGGATCAAAATATACCACAACCATCCACCTGGGTAGTGTATGTAGTTTTTCCATACTTCTGTTGCACATTTGCATCTAGTCTAAATGCCCATTTCCCCAGGATATACAGAGATCTCTCTCTCTCATGTTGGATAAGTGACCTCATCTCCCTCACGAGTCACCCTCTGCTCTTTAGATAGCTACATACCTGTGGTTTCGGTGATTTCAAATTCCTCCGCCTTTAAGGGGACGTCGCTCTGTCCACCCGTCGCAGCTTGGGACTGAAATGGGAAAGAAGAATTTTTACCCTGTGAGCTAATCCAGAGAGCTTCCATGTTAAACAAAATAATCATCTGGCACCACTGCCAAAGATCGCTTTGGCTCCTGCAGCTTGTAACAACTAGGGTCAAGGGATTACATCAGCAAAGGAAATTTAGAGGCCAATCTCTGGGAATTTGTCCTAGTTCCTCTTAACTTTATTTCCCTGGGGAGGTGCTGGGAAGGCTCATCATTTGAGACGTTTAGAACGGGATAGGGCAAAGCATTGCAGAATAGCATGCAGGGGGACAATTCTGCACTGGCCAGGACGACGGTTTGAGGAATGGATTGGACCATGGGGGTCATAAAGAGGTTCCATGGGGTTATAAGCTCCCTTCCTTTTTTAATGGCTACATAAAACGCGGGAGGAGGGGAAAATTTTGGTTCTGTTGGAACATGGGGTTCCAGGATAGAAGAAGCTGTGAACCACAGAACTAAAAAGTCTTTTCTCTCTCTCATTTCTGTGGTTCTCTAGAAACCTTTTGTATCTTTTAACGGGTCCAACAGAGGCTTTATACACTGCACAATGAATGATTGGATGGATTGGGCCACAACTCCCCTCCCCATGCATCCCATAGCAGCATTGCTTCGGAACTACTGACAAGAGTAGCAACTGGTGTCCATAAAGCCAGCAACCAGTCAAAAACTTTCAGGGGGCAGGTACTGTATGCTGCACGAGGGTCCTTTTTAGCCACGTTTCTGGCCAGAACCACGCTTTAATTCAGTGCACAACAGAGCAATGATTTCATTGCACACATTTTATAGTACAGCTGTCTGATCATTCTGATGTACAGCCTGTCTCCCATATGCCCATTCAAAGTAAGCAGCTGGGACTTACATAAGCCATGCCATACTCTATCTTTGCTCCTTTCACTTCAGCTTTAAACTGGGTAAAGAAGAGATAAGACTTTCCTTGGGGCCTGAAAAGGAAGAGCAAAATCTTTGACTTTGAAAGAGGGAAAAGGTTATCCAGAAGGCACAGAACAGGAGCGCGCTACCGGCCCGGCGATTAGAACATCACTGCCACTCAGGGAAATCAGGATCTGAATTTCGTCCCATGGCTTTCCCAGCTAGCAGGGGTGGAAGCATTACAGACATCGCGCTCAGCCCGGGGGGGGGGGGGGGGGGGGTTCTCTTCTCGGCCAACAGGGGGGGGAGGAAATGCTCTGAAAGGAAGCAGGTCTCTGCTGGGGGCGGGGCATCCCTGTTGTGAACTGGCCCAGCACAAGAAAGGACAGAGGTGCAG